AAGTATAATTTATGTTGTGCAATTTTTATTATTTATAAATATGAATATCAAAAGCTTATATTAAAATCATTATAGTCGATAAAGACCGTGGATCACTGCCTCAATGACTTGTTCCCGGAAGCAATAACGGAGTTGTTCAACTTTATGATAGATATGCAAGTTGACATGAAATTTTTGTGTGAAGATTCAATTTCTCTTGTTTGAGGTAAATATATCTCATATGTCTTTTTTAAAAAATAATTTACTTGTTCTATAAGGTTTTTGTTTTTGTTTTTTTGTTTCACTAATCGTTCAACTCTTGATTTTTCTTTTCTGCTTACAATGTATTCTCCTATAGACTTTATATGAACTTCATAATTTAGAGGGTGTACCCTGTATTCAATTGAGATTGTTATAGATGTTAAAGGAGTTATGTGTCTGGATGTTAACTGATTCCCATAGATTCCATATTGAATTTGATGTGGATTTTAATAGAGTTTGTTAGACTTCCATCATGAGACTTTTATAGAATTTTATGGTTTTTCATATGCTCCGTTTAATATATAAAATCTCATGGTGATGACAAATTTTCCACAAAAAGAATACAAGTTTGAACATGGTCGTCTACTTTAGTCTGTACTAGACACTACTGTGATCCTTGATTTTCCATTAATCTTGATCTCTTTTATACAAGTATGAACATGACAAACAAGACATACCAAAACCAATTATTTTTACATCCAAGGAAGATGGGAAATGTTACCAGCATTGTCCGTTTTCACAGAGCAACAGCTCAAACAAGTATATGATATTCATAGTATGATCAATGATTTTGAACAATGTCTATTAAAAACTGAAAAGATGGGATTGAACTATTTAACTGTACCAATTTTAACTAATAAATCTCAATCGCGATTTAGATATTGTCATGTCAAGGAGGAATAAACCATAACAGAACATCTGAGAACATAAGTTTCTATACATAACAGGGCAAAAAGAAGCGTAGCCCCGACATCAATATCACAAGTCATAAATCATCCCATTAAGTTTAGGCCTTCATCTTACAACCATGAACCAAAAAGTAATGGTTTTTTTTTTTCGGAAACTATTTTTCTCTCCATTACATGTTGATCTTATTTTAGTTGAAGATCAAAGTATAATCCCAAAGCAAACTTACAAGAAAATGAAATGTTTCTCAACTGAAATACTTCACCATCTGAATTTCCTTCTGCTTGTAGCCACACTTCTCATAGAATGCTTTATTCTCAACACTGCAATCAAGAATTACCTTATAACACCCCAGAGAATGAGCATAATCCGTGAGGGCATTAATAATTTTCTTCCCTAACTGCATCCCACGAGCATTGGCATCAACCACCACGTCTTCAATGTGCCCGACTTTGCCACAGTTCCTTATAAACTTCCTTTCAATGAACACACTCCCAGTTGCAACAATCTTTCCAGAACGAGCATCTTCTATAACAAGGACCCGATGGTCCTCTGCACGGGCATTAAGCTCCCTAAATCGATCTTCAAAGTCCTTATCAGATACAGAATCACAAACAGTTAGCTGTTGCAGTAGTTCTATGAAGCCCTTGCTTTTGTCTGAGAGCTCTAGTTTTCTAACTTGGAGCTTCTGCTCTTCACTGCTCTCCATCTTTTGTAGTCTGAGCAATTGTTAACAACTGGAAAGGTTTAATTAAATCAACGTTCAACAAAGAGAAAGCAAATGCATATGTATTATGTCATATGTGAGGAAAAAATAAAACACCATGTATTTGATTGGCTTCAAAGAACTTGGAATTTGGTTGACAAGAACATAGCAATTTCCCTTTCTATGTGAAGTCCACCGCCTAACGTAACAGATATTAGACAATACCAATTTTCATTGAATCAAACACTATCTCATGGGTTGAATAGCAATTCTGACTTCTGGGTTTTGTTATTATATGATTATGGAAAATAAAATCAAAGTAATGCTCTAAGAACTCAACCTGTCACATCATTCAATTATTAAAGAGCCAAATCCTTCAATCGATTGATGAAGCAAGAAGTAATTTAGAATTACCTCAGAATTCAAACTTCGATGGAGTGTATATGGAGCAGTTGCTATT